GCGAAATATAAGCATGTATGTTTAGGGAGCCCGTCAGACGCAACGACTCAGTCTGGTTTTGAAAAATGGCATCCAGAACCGGCTCTTTGTCCCGAACGGGGTATGAGTTCCACAGGTCAGGAAATGGAAGTGGTTCACCCACATGAACAAACAGAAAACGCTCCTGCCATTTTTTAGGAGGCGTGGGGTTCTCTGTGAAAAGCTGACAAAAGGGCCAAACGGTCAGTCGCAGGTACCCAGTGGTCCAGTACGACTCATGTTTATAATGATATAGAAATAAATCAACGCTCGGAGGAATCCCTAAATCGTGGCACCGAATGACGAATCCTGTAAGGAGACGGTAGGTGTTGGGCACGAACTGAGCCGGGAGCACCGAGAGCCGGCGTAGAAAGTCTATAACAAACGGATGCAGAGAAAAACTGTAAGGAATAATTGTAATTAGATTTTGATGATGCTATAGGACTTTAGAGTACCCCCTCTTTAGATTTATTGTATTAGAAATTTTCCTTGTGAAGTTACTTAGAATAGTCGACTGACAGAAGACCTCCTGATAGAAGACCTTCTTATAGGCTTAGTCCTGACAGAAGAACTTTGGCTCTCTGTTGATTCTTACTCAGACAGAAACCCTCTGGTTCTCTGTTGGACATCACTACAACAGAAACTGTCAAGACTCTCTGTTGGTTCGCCTCTGACAAAGACCTCAGGACCCTCTGATAGCTTATTCCAACAGAAGTGCTCAAGACTTTATCTGGGAGACTCTCTGCTGAAGACACCAGAAAGCCTGACACTTAGAAATTTTTTGCACCAGTTGCCATATTAGAAGCCAGATTAGAAGCCATCAGAATATTAGAAGCCAAGAAGAAAGAATTGATTTTGATGAAACTTTTGCACCAGTTGCCAGATTAGAAGCCATCAGAATATTTCTAGCCTATGCTGCCTACAACAAGATCAAGGTCTACCAGATGGATGTCAAGAGTGCATTTCTGAATGGAGATCTTGAAGAAGAAGTTTATGTGGAACAACCACCAGGTTTTGTCATTCCTACTCAATCTTCTTGTGTCTACAAGCTTAAAAAGGTCCTCTATGGTCTTAAGCAAGCTCCCAGAGCATGGTATGACACATTGTCCCTATTCCTAGTGAACCATGGGTTTACTAAGCGAAAGGTTGAAAAAACTCTATTTTAAATCTCTGTTGCTAATCATATTCTGTTAGTACAAATATATATTTATGATATTATATTTGGAAGTACTAATGCAGAATTATGCAAGAAGTTTTGTCAAGTTATGCAGAGTCAATTTGAGATGAGTATGATGGGAGAACAGAGCTACTTCCTAGGACTGCAAGTAAAACAAATTGCAGAAGGAATCCTTATCAACCAAGGGAAGTACACCAGAGACCTGATCAAGAAGTTTGGAGTAGAAGGCAAATCCTCAGTAAAGATTCCCATGAACACCTCTCAAGGAATTGGACCAGATGATGAAGGAAAAGAGGTTGATGTAACAACATACAGAGGAATCATTGGATCTCTTTTCTACTTAACTGCAAGCAGACCAGACATCTCATTTTCTGTTGGAATCTGTGCCAGATACCAATCAAAGCCCAAGGAGAGCCATCTAAGTGCTGCAAAGAGAATCATCAGATACATCAAAGGAAATCGAAATGCAGGCCTATGGTATCCAAAGGGAGGTAATTTTGAACTAATTGGTTACTCTGACTCAGATTTTGCAGGTTGCAGGTTAGATAGAAAGAGCACCTCTGGTCATTGCCAATTGCTAGGTGGGAGACTTGTCTCCTAGTTTAGCAAGAAGCAGAACTCAATCTCAACAAGTACAGCAGAAGCTGAATACATTGCAGCTGGGAGTTGATGTGCTCAGCTACTCTGGATGAAGCAACAACTGAAGGACTATGGAATTCAAGCAAAGGAGATCAAGCTGCTGTGTGACAACACCAGTGCCATTGCCATCACTCAGAATCCAGTTCTTCACTCCAGGACAAAACACATTGAGATCAGACATCACTTCATCAGAGATCATGTCGAGAAGAAGCACATATGCATGGAGCACGTGTCAACAGAAGACCAACTTACAGATATTCTGACAAAGCCTTTGCCTGAGGCTAGATTCAACAAACTGAGAGAGGAATTGGGAATGATGGATGAAATTCCAAGAGAAGGTTGATTGGAAGATCTTCTGTTACAAATTCTCTGTTAACAGAATCTCTATTGCAGAACCCCTTCTGTTCACTGCTTTGAATAGAGAACCTCTAATCCTACCAAAACACCTCAGCGACAGAAACTCTCCTCTTACCAACAGAAGGTTGTGGACTTAGAAAATATTTTTAGAAAACGGGTGATCTAGTAACTTAATGAAGGTCTTTTACCCTTTTACCCTTAAAACGGTATTACAGCCGCAAAACATTTACTGCGCCCCTTTTCATTTATTGGTACCTCGAAACCACCAATAATCTCAAACGTCCACTAACTCGAACCCTTATATTCCCCTTTCTCCAACCTAAACCGTTACTGTTCTCATTACTCTCAAACCTTCGAACCTCCATAGCTCTCAAGCTTTCAGAACTCTCACTTTCGCACTAATGGCGGTTATCAGTTTCAACTCTCTCTCAAAGGTGCAACAGGAAACCTTGTCCAAGAACGTTCTCACTGGGATGAAATGCGACCTCTACGCACTCCCAAAGCTTGCTGAGGACGAGGAACTAATGGAAAGGATACTCGAATGCCTCAACGGCTCTCAACTGGGCAAGGTAATCACCTTCAACTATACTCAGTACAACACTGTTGATGTAGTTGAGTTTTATCTCAACGCTGACTACGAAGACGAGGTCATCACCTCCACTGTGAATGGAAAGAAAGTCACTGTTGATGTTGGGGTCATCAACAGCCTTTTCAAAATCCAGGTAGACAATGAATCAAACGGTCTCCTTGACCTAGAAGATGCAAACATCACTGTCGGGGAATTTGCTTCGAACTACGGCAGACCAGGTGCCAAAATTCCCAAGCTAACCGGGAAAAAGCACTCACTGAAGAGGGAAATTGAGTTGATTGTGAACATTCTGCACAAGTGCGTATGGTGCAGATACACATCTACTGATGAGTTCACCATCTCCCAGGCCAAGGCTATCTATGTTGTGCTGCACAAGGCAAATGTCAACTGGGGACAGGTCATTGTGAGATCCTTGATTGAATTTGTCAAAGTTGCCAAAAGGAAGAACAAGGAAACAGGCATCTTCTCTGGGAAGGTAGGACATGCCCTCCTTATCTCTGAATTGCTGGTACAGGGAGTGGGGCTCAGGAAACCAATCATGGTGGATCACTCAAAGATAATATTCATGTCCTCCACCAGCAACAGAGATGCTGCAATCAAGGCAGAGCTCAAATGGTTGGCAAAGCTAAACCTCAACAGGCAAAAGCTCCAACAGAAACCCCTACAGCAGAACACCATCACCTGTTCTGAGGAAGAGCCTGTAAAGAAAAAGGTTGTGAAGAAAACAGTCAAGAAGGCTGTTCCAGAAAAGGTCAAGAAGGTATTGACCAAGAAAACCAATCCCAAAAGGAAGAAACCTGCTTCTGCATCTACAGCATCTACCCTTTCTACCACCCTGATCCCTAAGAAACAGAAGACCAGAAACCCTACTCCTCAAGACACCCCAGAAGCTCAGGGGGGAACCAGAAGAATCTGAATCACCCTCTCTGCCAAAACATCCTCCCTGGCAAGGAAAGAAGATTACCTTTGAATCTAGTGACTCTAAGGACGAAATACTGGTAAGAAATGCCACAACTCAGGGGGAACCCCAGATCTCTGTGCCTGAACAACAACAGAATGCCTCTCCAGACAGAGAACCTGAGATGGACTACCGAGTGGCCCTGGACAAGCAATTCGAACGTGTGTTAGCCTGGAGAAGCTGGAGGATGGGGCCTCTACAGAAAATCATTCAGTACTTTGATCACTATGAATCTGAAGAAGAGGCAGTTCTGAAGTGGGTGGGCACTGATGATGTCTCTAAATGCTTTGCTCTCAACTTCCTGCAATCTGTTCTCGAGAAGAAGAAGGCAAACTATAAAGGCAAGGCTGTTCTCATCTCTACTCCCTCAGAAGAGCCAGTAAAGCCTCTTGCAGATGAGGAGATTGATGCTTTTGAGGCCTGGCTATTTGCAAAGAAGGCAAAGGAGTCTGTGGATCCTAACTTTGTCCCTGGTGAATCTTCTACACATAAGGATGAAGGAACTGCAATGATGGAACTAATCAGTGAATGGAGAGCATCTCTGATGACAGATCACATAATTGAGGTAACTGCCCCCTCTCCTTCTGTACATATTCCATCAGAACCCCTTATTCCCGTTTCTCCCAAATCCCCTTCTGTGCAAAAACTCCCAACACCACAACAGAGCACCTCCTCACCCCAACAGAAAACCCCATCTCAACAGAAAACCCCCACTCCCCAAAAATCCTCAACCCCCAAATCCAAATCCCCTTCACCCTACAAACAGGTTACCCTAACAAAGAACAGATCTCCCTCTTCTCCCCCATCTCCTCAACGTCAGATTAGCCCAACTCAACTTCAACAGAATACCCCTTCATCTCAACCATCTCAACAGAAATCCCCTTCACCTCAAAAGTCTGAGCACCAGAATGCCAAAATGGTTTCTCCCCCACAACAGCAACCCCCAACTCAGCAAAAACCAGTCTGGTACCTCAGATCCTCTGATCCAACAACCATCTCTCCTGTTTCTGCACCCCATGGCTTTTCTAGACACTGTACTGCTCCCAATCCCTCTTTACGCAGAAAGAGGAAGGTGATTAGAAATCGAATACCCATTTACTCCTCGTATGAGGACTCCTCTGACATGGATGGATTCATCGTCAGCCACCCCAACAAAGCAACCTCTAAAAGGCAGAAGACCCCCCCCCCCCCTCTGACTCACCTAGAGCTTGAAATGCAAGTACAGTGTAACACCCCCGAATTTCCCACCCAAAACGTTGATATAATTGAAATAAAACTTTTATTTATTGATAATGAAAATTTAAAGAAAGTACAGCGGAAGTCTTAATAAGGGAAATGGGTGTTACCGCCACATCCGGTCATCTCTCAACCGGATGCACAGGCAACTTAAACATAACAACTAATTTAATAAAAATAAAGTGTTTGTAAAGTAAATGTTTATTTCATGACTAGTATAACTAAGGCGACTTCTAACTCGCTCTCGGCCGTGCAAGCAATCATCACTCGACAACATCATCCTCACCTGCACAAATAAAGTGCAGAAACAAAACAAGGAAAAGAAAACAAAAATTAGCTTTAGAGCTAAGTAAGTACTACCCAACCCCGTAAAATAATCATGTTTGACAAAAATAGAATTTTTATATAATAATATATAAAAATACTCACACCATCGAAATTCTTTTCACTTTGATTTTTCTCAAGACTACTTTTTTACAAAAAATCCTCAACTTCTCCATAAAACTTCATAATAACTCTTCTCTTTGATTTCCTCAAAAATCACTTCTTCTCTAACTTCCTAGTAATTTAGAAGGGCGGTGCTCAACCTTTCGGTAGAGCCCGGTGGACCGTGGTTACGGACGGCCACCCCGAACAAGTGCCGGTACCACAACTGCTCTGTTGGAAACGAAATGACTACCTTAAGTGTGCACACCCCCTAAAAGGGATTCCAAGCCCCCGAGTAGTAAGTCGTAACGAGTAGTCGGGACTCAGTCTACCAACTACCCCTGAATAAGATATTTTGAATGACTAGGGACTACTACTACCATAACTTCTTCTTAAAAGGGATCATCGATCCAAATATCACTTTAAACTCAAACTGTACTTCTTAGTAGTAGAAGACCTAATCACCCTCCACATTTATCCGGACGTGGAAAACCGACACCACGGATTTCTCCCGTGATGCTCACCTCTTATAAAACTGTAAATTTTTATCTTCAATAAATAATACTTCAAAAATACTTCTCAATTTCTCTAAAAAGTCTTGAAGGTATTTAAAAATATTAAATACCCCAAAAGTACTTAATTTATATTTCTCAACTACCATATATATAATATCTCTTCAAAAATCACATACACAAAATTCAACAATTCATACTTATTCACATAATGCATAATAAGCATATAATACGAGGAAACAATTTTAGATTGGCAGAGAAACTTACCTCAAATCGCGATAATTCCTATGAAAGCTTTTATCTCGATCTTCTCCAAAAATCACCTTCTAAGAATATTACAATTCTAATATCAATATCAACCTATAGTTAAATTCCACTATTCTTTATTTAAATTTTGATGTTTTAGGGTGTACTTGGTATTTGATTAATCTTTCTAACACAAAAACTCATTGGATTATATGCAGCCTGGATAAACAGCCCATTACGTAAATTATAGTTAGTCCATTAATTTATTAACCAATCCAGAAAATCCAGCCCAAACATGCTGAACGTACCACGGAGTAGAAATCAGAGTGCAGAGTTACGTACGTACTTCGTTCGTCGTCTTCTCGCTTCATCCTCAACCGAGAGCATCCGGGCGGAGATGACCGGCCATGCAGTCCCGAGTTATTCTCCTGGCAGCTATAACCTCTGTGGCGTGTGGCCGTCCGGTGGCAACAGAGTCTAGCTTCTTCGTGAGAAAGGAGAGGGTACGGACTGTCTTTACTGCAGCAGGCGGCGACGACGCCTCGGCTTTCCTGACCGGAGACTCTTGCAGCAGATCTCTTGATCGATGGCACATCCATGTTGCAGATTCTCCGGCGTAGAGCGTATCATTCCGGCGAACAGATAGAATTTACTTTTGTGGTGCAGCAGCCCCTCCGGCATCAATGGCGGCAAGGTCAAAGTCCGTCTCCGGCGTCGTTGCGGTATTCCCGTCGAAGCTTCGCTTCCTCCTCGTCCGACGAAGCAAGATCCTAGATCGCACAGTTTGCCTTCCTCTCGTTGGGTTTTGCAGAATGGCGTGGGGTGTGAATGTATATATGTGTAGCGTACGCCAGTACATATGATGCGTATGATGCAGTTATATGTTTGTGTGCGGCGGTCGGATCCTTCTCCGTTCTCCGGCGTCGTGGAGCTAGTGTACGTCGGCCAACTGGTGTGCGCAGGTTTTGTTCGCATGGTAGGTCGCCGTTCTATCTTATGTGTGTGTATATACATGTTCATAGCTTAGCCGCAGGCCCGCAGCTTCGTTTCTGTGTCGACAACTCCTTCCATTCTTCTATTTATACACACGTTGGAGAGTTATAGGGTTTGAGTTTCATTCGTCGATGATGATTCCAGTAGCCCAGCCCAAGAGCAGCTTAATTCTCGTATCCTTATTGCCGCATAAGACTTGCCAATTACTATGTACATTACTATGTACTTATTCATGCGTTATACTCGGTATTATTGTATCCTTATTTTTATTTCCATATATGTATGAGTTTAAACGTACGTATGGTTTGATGATTGTCCACTGTATCTTTGATTTGAGAAAGTCAGTTACTCCTATTTATTAGTATATATGTTTAATCGGTTTCCTTATATTATGTGTGAGTACATGTATGGATAGTTAATGTTTTCCTTAATATATGCAATACGGAGGTATAGTTATAGTTTTTTCCATATTAGTTTTATGTATATGCAAGTACGGTGTTCACATATCGGCATGGCATCAGCTTTGAAAAGTCAACTATTTAACATTTCTTTATGTAGTACTAATATTAAAATTTATTAAAATGTCACTTTTAATTTTCTGTCATAAGCATAATTATTACGTCTTATACAAAACATCATTTTTGTAATACTCATAAAAATGTTATTCATTTTATTGAAATATTTTTATCTGCCTAAAAAAAGTCATAAATGTAAAAGTTTTATCTGATTAGAATGTTATAACTGTTGAAATTTTATCTGATTCACTTAATAAAAATCTCACCTTTTATAATATTTTATTTTACAAATAAACTATTTATTTTATTTAATTTTTTTTCGGAGTGTCACATACAGTCTCTCTCCTCTACACAAGAGCATCACCCTATGCCTAAGGGAAGAGGCTTAGACATGCATGGCTTTGCAGGAGAAGAGCAACAAATTCCCTTCAATGATTTTGTGGCTGCAGCAGAAGAGTTCGGCGGTCAATTGCTGGATGGAATGAACAAGCTTGTCCTCATCAATGATAAACATTTTGAGCATCTGACCCAGGTGGATGTAACCATTGAATCTGGTTTCAAGCACCTATCAGACACCCTGGCAACCTCCCTACAGCACTTCATGACCACATCCAATGCAAAGGTTGATGCCATCTCCAATGAAGTGGACATTATCAAGACTGTTCTCACTTCCATGAATCAAACTCTGAATTAACAGCATGTCACCCTTACTTCTCTATCTCAAGCTGTTGACTCCCTACAGAGGTCTGATATCCAAACCCAGGAGCACCTCAAGAACCTTTAAACTCTCTGCAAAGAGCACTCTGAACAAGGAAAACTGCTCTTGGCTGCTGACAAGGAGAGATACCAAAAGATGATTCTTCTAGAAGCAAGCAACAAAGGCATCCTCTCTGCTATTCAGAAACAGCAAGGGTTGATAGATGGTCTAACTTCTGTTACTACAACTCTGCCAGAAACGCTTGAACAGATTGCTTCTACTCAAGCCTCAGAATTCCAGAGGCTCTCTTTAATGATTGGCGATCTAGATGATGCCAAAAAGGGGGAAGACGACCCTAAGCCTCGTTCCACCAGAACTCCTGCAAGAGCAACCCCTTCTGGTGAACCATCTGTTGACCCTGCACCATACTTTCAAGCTACCATTCAGAAGAAGAGGTTAGTCGGCATTCCACAGAAGAAAAGCTCCAAGAAGAAGAAGGTCCTAAGCTTCACATATTGGAGACTGGGTGGATCTCAAAGGATTGATAAATCACAGTTTGATGAGATGAAACAAAAAATGACTCCCACTCAGCAGCAGGATCTGTATCTTGACAGAGATGGCCTTGTAAATGTCAGACATGGTGGTTCCTTGGAAGAAGCTGAATTTTGGTATCTCAACAAAATTCTTCCGGGAAAGGACATTCATGAAGGTGTCCTGAGTTATCCGTACTGCAAGCTCTCACCTATCTGGGCTTCACATCAGAGCACTGGCAATCTTGTAGGAATCAGAGAAGCTGTCAACACAGAGCTAAAGAGATTGCAAGAATTGGACGATCAAGCCTTAGCTGCAGCTGAAAGGGAGAATCTGTAAAGGAATATCCTTGTAAACCTTTTCCTTAATAAAAGAACATCTCTGCCTTTCAATCTGTAAGGCAATTACTCCTTATCCTTTCTTACTTTCTGCTATGTATGTTTATCTTCTCAATTCTGTTTATCTTGATTTTTTATCTGCTATCTTGAATGTATCGTACTCTTACTATTTTCCTATGCCAAGTTGCCCACCAAGATTTTAATGAAACTTTTAAACTTTAATGCTTTTATGGTGAAGGCATTTCTTTGGAAATAGTTAAAGGGTTTTGGCATCATAAAAAAGGGGTAAATTGTAAGGAATAATTATAATTAGATTTTGATGATGTTATAGGACTTTAGAGTACCCCCTCTTTAGATTTATTGTATTAGAAATTTTCCTTGTAAAGTTACTTAGAATAGTCGACTGACAGAAGACCTCCTGACAGAAGACCTTCTTATAGGCTTAGTCCTTACAGAAGAACTTTGGCTCTCTGTTGATTCTTACTCAGACAGAAACCCTCTGGTTCTCTGTTGGACATCACTACAACAGAAAATGTCAAGACTCTCCGTTGGTTCGCCTCTGACAGAAGACCTCAAGACCCTCTGATAGCTTATTCCAACAGAAGTGCTCAAGACCTTATCTGGGAGACTCTCTGTTCAAGACACCAGAAAGCCTGACACTTAGAGAATTTTCATGGAACTACTACAGCCGGTGAAACCATCTGAAGATTCCCTCAACGGCTGGAAGACTTCAACGGAAAAGCTACAGTACGCGCATTAAATGCACATTTAATGCACCCCGTACCCTGAAGAGTAAAAGCTGATGATTGGCCTACATTCCAGGATATTTCAAGATAACTCTATCCCTAAATAGTAACCCGCCAACCTTACCGGGTCCTACTGGTCAAGTCAACTGTTCGCGCATTTAATGCATTGTCCTCCTCCTCCAACGGGAAGACAACCCAAGTATAAAAGATACTCTATGAAGAACAACCGGACAACTTTGCTACATCCTTTGCTCAACACTTGCTCAAACAAATACATTCAAAGATTCAAAATCAAAAAGCGTCCTTGAGATTAAAATTTCATCATCTTCTACAAGAGAATGCACACGTTGGAAAGATTATCTATTCACATCTCCTTATTTCCAACTCAAGCAAAGTTCCAATCGTTCTTCAACACTTCAAGCACGTCATCAATACATCTTTTGTGATGAAGAAAGTTGGAGGAACCCCTGTTTCATCAAGAAACTCTTCTCTAATGAGAAGGATGTCCAAGTAACTGGAGCAGTGAAGTGGTGATACTTCTGGGAAGCTCGGCGAAAGGACCAGTCTTAAAGGAAGCCAGGAAGTGCATCCCAGGAGACATCTAGGCTTGAAGAAGACGGGGAGAGCTTCTTAAGTGTTAGGACTAAGGCGTTGTAAACGAACGTTTTTACAAGCTTAGTGGAACAGTGGATTAGAGGAACCAGTTGTTCCTTGAACCACTATAAAAATCCCTGGTGTCATTTACTTACTGCTTTTATCTTTTGCACTTAGTTAGGTCTGATTAACTCCAAAGACTTGGTCTCTGTGTTCACCAGAACGTGTCTTGTGAGTTAACAGAAGGCCTACTGCCTTTGCTTCTCTGAGGCTGATCTGACAGAACCCCTACCAAAACTCCATCCGCTGCCAGTCTGTTCTGTCAACAGAACAGACTACTCTGTTTAATCTGGTACTTAGCTTGAAAAAGTTAAAAACCAGTACAGTCTATTCACCCCCCTAGACTGTACCCAGTATAACCGAGACCAACAAAAACAGAGACCGGCCACCAGGGCATCCATATGCACCAGCACATACCCCGGTCGGTGCCTCATCGGATGTTGAATGAAGCCGCTGTAAAATTGCCTGGGTGGCGGTAAAAGTAGGGTCAATTGCCGTTCGGCATCTGCTGGAAAGCGCTAACGTTGCTTCCGGATGCAATAAAAGTTAAGGGGAATACATGGTGGCCGCCCAGGCATTCCATGTTTATATTTTTGGAGGTCCCCCCATCTAAACATCCATCGTCAGGAAGGGACTGCTCGACCTCCGGGGGATGGGAGAATCAGTAGGAGAGTCCGAAAACTGGGCGGAGGGGCTAGTTGCCTGGCCGCTCGAGCCGGCCTTTCTCCTTGTGGATCGATGAATCAAAATCATATCTTCTTCGTCTGAAGAAAAAAAGCTAGACATAAAAGAGAAGGCCAGGTAAATACCTCGACGGGGAGAGAGCCTGAAGGATTTCTAGAGAGAGAAAGTTAGCAGCAAGTTAAAGGGCCAAGAAGCAGCAGAAAATAAGGAAGCACCAGCTTCCCCATATTTTTACTAAAACCCACCGACCATGAACAAAATCAATGAGGGACATGTGGCAGAATTGGGTGGCAGGATGTCCACGGTGGGAACCGGGTCTCAAAAAGGGGTCTTGGTGAACCCACGAGGATTGAAGATTCATACAGAATCATTGCATTGTACGCTCTGAACGGCTAAGCCCGGATATAACAAGGGCAGACTTTTGTGGTCTGAACAGGCCCTGACAAATAACGGAGATGAGATTACCCTATACGGATCAAGTCCTAAATATTTACTCGAACGGTCGAAAAGTCATGATGGGCATGAAACGTCAATCGGAAGACAAAACCAAAAATGAGAAATCAACAAAAGGGGTATTTTACTCTTCGGCTCTACCGGCCGGAATATACAAAAAGATAGAAATAAAAGACACATGAATGCTTTGAAAATGGGGGGGCCTATCTAGGAAGGGGCTGATAACCAATATTTCATTCGGCATCCTCATCCTCGGCATCTTCATCCTCATCATCATCAGAAGGTTCAGGAACCCTTCTGGCTGCTTGGTCAGCTTCCTTTTGAAGGGCCCAGCGGTATTTGCCATATTGGTACAAGAGGACCTTATCCTCAGAAAGCTCGTTCAGATCGACCTGATGACCGGCCAGACGCTCCAAAATTAGCATGACAC